AGAGAGAGAAAGAAAGAGAGAGAGAGAGAAAGAAAGAAAGAAAGAAAGAAAGAAAGAAAGAAAGAAAGAAAGAAAGAAAAGAGGAAAGAAAGGAGGGAGGGAGGAAGGAAGGAAGGAAGGAAGGGAAGAAGTAAAGTTGGGCTCTACTGGCTCACTCATAATCCTAGTTACTCAGAAGGCTGAGATCTGAGGATCATGGTTCAAAGCCAGTCCAGACAGGAACATCCATGAGACTGGGGAAGATGTAATGGGTTAGAGGAGATCTAGATTTATCCACATACATATGTCCTGTTCATGGACTACTGGCAGGCAGCATTCAACACCCTGTAACTATGGCATCCAACTTCCCTGGGAACCTCCCAGAGAGAAGTTCAACTCTGTAAGTTTGGCTGTAGGTTGGTTTGTGGCCAAGTAGTCTCAGTTGAACTTTGAGGACTGTGCTTAGCACAGCCCATTGATGTAAATGTAGGTCATTAGGGGCCATCCAGAATATTCTGAAGGAGATTGCCCAGTTTGAGCTTTTCTAGATTGGAAAGGCTGAGTCATCACCAAGGTGAGCATTTCCAAAGACTCAACTGGACCACAGGGATGCCACGAAACTCAACTTGTTTTTTTTTTTTTTTTTTTTGTCGGTTGTGGGATTTGAACTCTGGGCCTGGGCGCTGCCCCTCAGCTCTTCAGCTCAAGGCTAGCGCTCTACCACTTAAACCACAGCACCACTTCTGGCCTTTTCTGCTTATGTGGTGCTGGGAATTGAACCCAGGGCCTCATGCATGCAAGGCAAGCACTCTACCACTGAGCCACCTTCCCAGCCCTGAAACTCAAATTGTTTGTATTCTATCCCTAGCCCTCATATGAACCCTGCTACCTTCACCCTCAGGCCCTTAGTAAAGCCTAAGTATCTGTCCCAGGCTCTAACACAGGGGACACTCAAATAGATCATGGATGAGAGAATGAGGCTGCTTCTACATGAACTCCTGTTTTGTGTCTCTCAAGGCTAAAGTGTTCCTTTGCCTCTCACACCTCCAGAGGCCCTTCCTAACTCCTTGGACCTCAAGTCTTAGCCACAGTTTTCTATAAGGAAGGTTAGGGTTAGGGTTGGTTTCTGGAATTAAAAACAATAGTGAGCATTCTCACAGCTCATATCACAGTCACCTGGAGGGGCTGTAAAAACTGACAACTAGGCCCAATCATAAACTCCTGGGGTTTATGATTCTTTAAGTCTGGGTAGGGACAAACTGACATTTTTTCCCAAGTTCATAGGTTAGGTTTCTGCTGCTGGTATAGGTGCCCTCATATTGAGACATGCCTGAAACAACAAGCTTTTGGGGTTTCTGCTGGACCTTCTTTACCTTTTCCATCTTTCTGATGGATCCATAGCTAGTGTCTCTCAGGTGCCTAGACCTTCCCAAACTCTTTCTTGAAGTTGGTCAGAGCCAGGTGCTCGTGGCTTATGTCTGTAATAGATACTCAGGAGACTGAGATCTGAGGATTGTGATTCAAAACCAGCTTGGGCAAAAAAGTCTGTGCGACTCTTATCAGTTAGCCACCAAAAAGAAGTAGAGGTGTGACTGAAGTGGTAGAGTTCTGGCCTTAAATGAAAAAGCTAAGGGACAGCTCCCAGACTTGGAATTCCCAGTACTGGCACAGAAGGAAGGAAGGAAGAAAGAGAGGGAGGGAGAAAAGAGAAAATTGGTCTAAGTACCACGAGTTAGCAATCTTCAACATCTACTTCCAGGATTGTTTTAGATCTAATTTCCCCTGTTGCTTTTGGTGGAGACATGTATTTTATTGCTGTACTCCAGGGCTCTTACTTACACCATTTGTAGGGAAAGTGAGAGAAGGATAACTTTCACTCAGCCTGGAATCTTCAGGCCTTCCCACTTCTCTTTATTGCAGCAGGAAGAGGCCCTATCTTCAAGGGGGGAAAATGAGAGGCCCCTGGAACTGAAAGTTTCATTTGCCACCCCGAAGAGTATGCTGCCATCCAGTCGCTTGAAAGGACTTCTGGGATTTCTTCAGCTGTTACTTGGTTTCAGGGAGAGCCAAAGTAGGCTGAATTCCTTGAACATGGAACAAGTTGAGGGTGTAGTACTGCGGAGGCTGAGGGTTGTGCTGCTAGAAACCACAGGGGCCATGAGGATTCTGGTCATGAACAACTGCAAAAGCTGCCCTAGAAGTTTCTTCCTCCTTTCAAGAAGCTTCTTCCTTTAGAAACTTCCTTCAGATACTTTGTAAGGGAATCAAAGTTTTCCCAGAGGTCTCAACGTGAGTCTTATGGATCATAAACAGATCTAAGGATACCACAAACTCTTAGACTTTCAGGAAGTTAGTAAGTTTGGGCACTGCTCCAAACAAAACTGGGAACAGGCATTGGGAAGGTAACTGTGTCTGCCCCACTGAACTTGAGATGTTAGAGCAAACCTCATCTAACCAGTCCTGCTCTGTACTTTTCCAGTTATATGAATCAATCAATTGTTTTTATGGTTTTTAAGACTATTTGAGCTGAGCCTGGTAACTCATGCCTCACAGGAGGCTGAGATCTGATGATCACAGTTTGAAGCCAGTCTAGGCAGTAAAGTCCATGAGACTCTTATTTCCAGTAAACTAAAAAAAAAAAAAAAAAGCCAGAAGTAGAGCTCTTGTTAAAGTGATAGAGTTCTAGCCTTAAGTGAAAAAGCTCCAGGACAGTGCCTAGGCCTTGAGTTCAAGCCCCAGTAACCAGCACACAAAAATGGTGAGGGAGGTAGTGTTGGAAAGGATATAAACAACTTATTTCCTCCTCCAGATTCTACTTGAGTTTCTTAGGAAATAAAGTTTATTTAGCTCATGGTTATTGAGCCCAGAGTGATCTGGGCTCTACTGGCTTAGTCTGAGCAGTGTTCAGGGTAGCAGTTGTACAATGTGACAAAGACTTAGATGTTTGCTAACTGACTTACTGAGTGAAACAACTCTGGGGAGCATCTTTGGAGAGGGAGCAGCTGTCTCACCAGCTCTTGGCTAGAGGCATGGCTCAAGTGGTGCAGCAATTTGCCTAGCAAGCACAAGGCCTTGAGTTCAAACCTGAGGCACACCTCTTACCACCCCGTCCCAAAAAAGAGTATTGTTTACTAGGCTGGGGCCTTTGGGTAGGAACCAGGTTTTGACACAGCATGTATTAAGCAGTAGAACTAGTTCAGTGCAGTCAGTGTGGTAAACAGTGTGTCAGTTATGAGTCTAAAGGACTTATACTGCCTTGGTCGGCACTTCTCAACTCCTACTCAAGTTTCATGACTGAGTAAAGGTCTCCTCCCCCAGCAAGCCTTCCCTAGCCAACTCCCGGCCCAGTTTTAGCTGGAGTAGATGCACAAATTGGCCACAAAGGCCCTGGGGACATTTCTGTGTTAAAACACTAATCCCACTGAAGCTTTTTAAAATTTTGTTTGTAATCCTGGGATTTGAACTTGGGCTTTGTGCTTTCTAGACAATACCTCTACCATGTGGGACAGGCTCTGGGTTCCAGTGTACTATAAAGCATTCCTTTTGGCTGGGCACAGTGGCTTATATATGTAATCCCAGCTACCCAGAAGGCAGAGGTCAGAAAGTATCACAGGTCTGAGGCCATCCCAAACAAAAAGTTAGCAAGACTCAATCAATAAGCTGGGTGAGGTGGTACACCCATACTACTTGGACGTAAAAAGGAGGATCAAAGTCTAGGCCAGCCCAGACAAAAATAGAGGACCTTATTTGAAAAATATCACAAAATGGCTGACAGTGTAGTTCAAGTGATATAGTGCTTGCCTAGCAAGAGTGAAGTCTCCCTTCAAACATAAAGAGCTGTCTGTAAGGAGAGTGCAAAGCAGGCCTAGACAGGTATCCAGAAGTTTCACCTCAATTTACCTGAGGACTTTTCCAGTCATTATGCAGTTCCTGCTCCCTACCTCTTCCACCAGAATCTCCAAGGATGGGACTAGGTCATGAGAATTTATGGAAAGTGCCTCATGTACATTTGTTATTATTACCCTTCTTGAGCCTCAATTGACAACAGGCATAGTTGAGTGTCTGGTACCTTCACCCTGTCCCACTCAAGAGAAGAGAAAGGCCTGAAGTGGGCTATTAGGCCTGGCCACTGCTTCTGGGAGAGAAGGGTCAATGAAAACTGCCAGACAGGCTTTGCTACCAGATCTGCTGTGTGACAGTTACCAAACTGTCAATTCTATTCTGGAGGGGGGCAGGTAGCAAAGGGGACTGAACCTTTGCCAAGTTATTCTCATGGTTCCAGCTACTACCTCCTCATAAGGGTTTTCTCTGATTCTTCAGTGTCCCCTACCAGGCAGTAGACAGTGGTTTTCTAAAGACTGTCTCCCTTGCCTACTTCAGGAGAACCCATTGCCAGCAGAGATCCAAAACGACACCCATTCTTATCTGCAAAAGAAGCTTGCCACAGGTCTCCTTTTGCAGAGTGCCTCAATGACTCCTGTATACAGACACCAATTGGTGCTGACTCCAGGAGAAATCTGTCAGATGGCAACATCTGTTTCCACCTGCAGCTGAGAGGATTTCCTCAAGCATCTTCCCAGTCCAAATAGCCTGTGTGGACTTGGGCTATAAATCACAATGGCGGCTTCTTCCATTGTCTTTGAATGAGCCTTTGTGCTTTGGGGCCTCCAAGCTGATTCAGCCAGCATCCTTTCCCCAGATGGGCCCCTGTGTGATAAAAATACCTCCAGAAGGGTGAAGGCATGGGCAGGTGGGGTCCTGTGTATGCTGCCATGTCTACAAACAAGGAGTTCTCACTGTGGCCTCGAGTTGATAAAACCCACGTGAGCAGAGGTCTAACAGCGCAGGGCGGAAGAGAGCAGCCATTAGCACTAATGAGGTAGGTGGCTTGAAAGCCTTTTTACTCTGAAGCTGCTTACCCAACTAGGGAACAGTCCGTTCTGCTCTCCTGGCTTCCAGGAACCCTAGGCAGAAAGGGGCTTGGAGACAAATATAAAGGTGGGGGTCTTGGGGAAGCCTAGAGGGAAAAGGAGGAGAGGAGACAGGGCCAGAGATGCAGTTAGGAGAGCTAGGTTTAGCAAGGAGGGTTATCCCCACCTTTCTTCCTGTTAAGAAATCGAAGATTTGGCTCTTCACACCACCCCTACCCCAAAATAACCACTACCTGTCAGTCCCTTCAGTGCTCTCGACCTAAGTTCCAGGAAACAAAGGAAATAACATGCCATGTAAAGGCTTGAGTGAGCATCTCCGGGGCCAGAAATTAAATTAAGCTCTCAGGTCCGCCTGCCTTATTATTGCTAATGGCTCCAGCCTGGCCCTATGTCCTGGTGCCCAGGAGATTTTGGAACGTGGGCACCCAATCTTGTTCCCAAACTTTGGTTCCTGGAAGCTTCATCCCAAATTGGAGGTAGGTGGACCTCTAGTAGAGCACTCCAAAAAAGGCTCAGGTTCCAGAGAGCAAAACTGAATTGTGCCACCGCCCTCTTGGAGGGCCCCCTCATGCTTTGGCTGCAGAGAGCAGTCACGTGCAGGTCCTTTATTAAACCCTGCTATATAAGCTGAGGGCACTGGTGGCCCAGAACTCCCTAGCAAGGACCAGCAAGGCAGAGGTAAGTCCTTAGGTTGGATAGATTCTCCTGCTCTCTGGGGCCCTCTCTCTGGGCACCTAGAGGGTACTCCAAAGAAGAGGAGGGACTAAGTGGTGGGTTTTTCTACTGAGCCAGGCCATGCTGACTACAGTGCTGCTTAGCTGTGTCCTGCTGTTGGCACTGCCTGCCACACAGGGTGCCCAGATGGGCTTGGCACCCCTGGAGGGCATCAGAAGGCCTGATCAGGCCCTCTTCCCAGAGTTCCCAGGTCAGTATGGGTGGCAGCAGGGCTGGGTGGGGCTGGACACTCACTGGCCACAAACCTGACTGCTTGGTGTAAGTCCTCATTCCTCCTTCCCAATTCCATCTCTGAGAGGGCGGGACCTGTCCTCACATTCTCTGTCCCAGGCCTAGGTCTGCGTGCCCTGGTGAAGAGGACACCTGCAGACCAAGCAGAAGATGCTTTGCTGCAGAAGGCAGAAGCTCTGGCAGAGGTAACAGCTCAGGCAAAGGGGTGAAGCTGCAGGCAGAGGGCATCTGTCTTAGGATCATCTCCTCTCCTCACCTCCTGACCACCTCTCCCCATGTTCCATTGCCATCTTTCATGGACTAGAGCGAGACAGGACTCTGAACCTGTCTTGATAAGCCCATGTTCCTGCCTTCCGAACCAATACAGGTGCTAGACCCAGAGAAACGCGAGTCACGTTCCCCACGTCGCTGCGTAAGGCTGCACGAGTCTTGCTTGGGACAGCAAGTACCATGCTGCGACCCATGTGCCACATGCTACTGCCGCTTCTTCAACGCCTTCTGCTACTGCCGCAAGCTGGGTACCGCCACGAACCCCTGCAGCCGCACCTAACCGGCCCATGGCGCAGCATGGGGGGCAGGGGAGGGGAACGCGAATAAAGGCTGGGATCAATCCCAAAGCTGTGGTTATTTCCAGTGTGATCGTTTAAGGGGATTCATGGTAGGTGTGTGTGTGTGTGTGTGTGTGTGTGTGAGAGAGAGAGGGGGGGGGTGTTGTCAAGCCAAGAAACTACACATTCGCTCACGCCAAGGCCTGGGGTACCCCATCATCTGAGCCATATATACGCACACTTTCAGGGTCACTAGACACCTTTGGAGAAGCAGGAAATGTAAACATCCGTGCTACAAAGTGCGGAGGCAACGGGGTGCACTGAGGGGCTTAGTTCCCAGTTGGCGAATAAAGCAGTAAGTTCCAGAGTCAGCTGGCCGCTAATTGTCACCTCCAGCAAAGCCCGCCCTTTACTGGACCTCAGTCCCTGTCGGTGGCGAGGATGGGGGAAGGCGGAGGGCTGACTCGGCTTTCAAGCATAAGAAGCACCTTCAGTTCCATCTCTACCCTGCCGGTTCCTGCAGTGTCAGGGGCGCCTAACCCGGAGAAGTTAGAGTTCCCGTTACATCCGGCGACCACGGGCGCCACCACGCGCTTATCTTTGCGGATAACCCAGCAGCTTCCAGGCTGAGTAGCGAGAGGACGGCTCCCTGTCACTGCGCAGGCGCCAAAAGGCCGTCAGCCCCTCCCGTCTGCGCCACGCTTGCGTACTAAGACGCCTAGAAGCTCGGCGCTGCTCAGATTCCCCGCCCTATGGAGGTCACGTGAGGTGCGTGCGCGTCACCTGACGCACTTGACAGCCCGTTTCGGGCGCCGCGTCAGCTGATCTTGGAGTCGCGCTGCGTGCCGGCTGGTTTGGGTTCCTGGGTCCCACCGCCCCCCACTCCCCCCGCGGTGCAGTCATGTCGTTCTTCCCGGAGCTTTACTTCAATGTGGACAATGGCTACTTGGAAGGACTAGTGCGCGGCCTGAAGGCCGGGGTGCTCAGCCAGGCGGACTACCTCAACCTGGTGCAGTGCGAGACGCTTGAGGGTGAGCCGCGCGCGGGCGGGGGCTTAGGGGCTTTTGAAGGCCAGAATGGAGGCCGACTTGGGCTGGGAAGCCGGAAGCTGGGGGGAGGTGGGGGGGCCGTTGAAGGGCCTGAGAGTCCTTTTGGGGAAAATGGTAACGGATGGCCGTTGTTGGGGGAAGGAGATCCACCTATAGCTGTCTGGCTTGAGCCAGCCTAGACAGAAACAAGGCTTTAAGGACTGCAATGTTCATCTCTGCGAAAGCTGCCTCTTTCCACGTTGTACTAGTTTGGAAGAAGTGTGTGAGGGTCTCTACGGGGTGGCTGGACGGGTGTGAAGAACGCAACAAACCTCATTACCCTGATGTAGGCAGGGAGTTGTTTCGTGCCACCAACGCTTAGAGAAGGTAAGCGGGGGAGAAGCCTTCCCTCCTCTCCCAAGGCCTTTAGAATCATCTTGTCTTCGCTCTGAGCCTTCTTGGAAGGAATTGCTGAGTTGGTTTAATGAGGAGTTCCTTCCAACTCAGTATCACTGGCTGGGCAGTCTCCTGAAATGTCGAGAGAACAAGAGGTAGCTGTGAAAATTTAGATGTTCATAGACAAATATTTGGTCCAAACTCCTGTAATTTCAATAAAGGGGGGATACACAGTTTCTTATACAAGAATAGAGAAAAGCAAGGCATTGTTTATCTTAGGTTAAGATCTGGAAGATCATGGTCTGAAGCCGTCCTGTCAGAAAAAATTCTCAAGACCCCATCTCCAAAATAACCAGCAAGCAGCAGTTCAGCAAGCAAGCCTCCACTTAAGTTCAAAACTCAATATCGGGGTGGGGACGGGGTGGGGGGCAGTAGAAGATTAGAGAGAAGCAGAGTTCCTCTTTTCAGCACACAGCTCCAAAGCAACATTGACTTCCTCAGACACAGCTGTAATAGATACTAAATTAGAGATGTCCTTAATACCAGGTCTTCCAACCAAGTGATAGTGAACGGGAGAAATGTGAGCTCCGTTCTTGACACTCAAGTGATTTCTTTGAGCAGGAGTATTCATTATAGTGGGAGGGGAAGGTGATGAGAAGATGATTGACCTACTGGAGAAAATTTTCTCATAAGCTTTTGAGGTTAAAATGAGCTCAATCAGTTATTGCTTATCTTGCAAACTAGACAGTCTAGTAAAAATGCTGTTAAAATATGGAACTTACCAAAGTTAAAATTCAGTAATTATGGATTTTATTATTTTAAAGTAAGCCTGCAAGAAAGTTGTTTGCCTTCTTTATGTGAGTATAGGAGCCTATCAGCAACCTGAAGGAACTCATTTGAGAAGAGAAGAAACAAGCTGAAGCCAGGTGCCCATGGCTCACACACACCTGTAATCCTAGCTACTGAGGAGGCTGAGAAATGAGGGTCACAGTTCAAAGCCAGTCTGGTGAGACTCCACCAAAATGCCAGAAGTAGAGCTGTGGCTCAAGTGTAGAGTGCTATCCTTGTGCAAAAAGGCTCAGGGATAGCTCCTAGGCCCTGAGTTCAAGCCCCAGGACCCACACAAAAACAAAAAACCAGAGAGGCTGCCTGGGGGAGGGCTTAAAATCCAGTAGGCACTTAATAAGAGTTTAGTATACTAACTGGGACTTGAAGGAGACATTTATTGCTTAAACCTAAAGGTGAATACCATTGATCATCAACTGACATTCAATAGGTTGTTTTTCTTTGCCTTTCCTTATTCTGTTGCTGTCTTGCCCTCCCTCCATAGAACTTCTAGGAGCACAAAGTTCCTATTTCTCCAGTTGACTTTCTATCATTTTACAAAAAGATACTAGGCTAATCTTGCAGCACTGCTCAGCGTATGACCCCTTTCTCTTGTGAAACATCATCCAGACTTTTAGCTTGGCATTCAAGGATCCTCTGCTTTTTTTTGGCCAGTCCTGGGGCTTGAACTCAGGGCCTGGACACTGTATCTGAGCTTCTTTTGCTCAAGGCTAGCACTCTACCACTTGAGTCACAGCACCATTTCTGGCCTTTTCTGTTTATGTGGTACTGAGAAATTGAACCCATGGCTTCATGCATGCTAAGCAAGCACTCTACCAGTAAGCCACATTCCTAGCCCTCCTCTGCTCTTTTACACATAAACTTCTACATCATACAAACCGTCTCTCCACACCTGGTACGGATATGACAACACACATGAACATGGAAGTAGCAGCTAGCATGCTCCTCATGGTCTGAAAACATTCACTTAGTCACATCTAGTAAACCCAAATTCAGCAGGACTCCTTAGAAAGTAATACTCTTTACTGTCACTATGCCTTCATACCCAATGCTAAGAAAGTAGAGCTTCCCCCATGGGTTTAGCCTGTCCACCCTTCCCCCACCCCTTCCTGCGGTTGTGGGGCTTGAACTCTGGGCCTGAGCTCTTCAGCCCAAGACAAGCACTCTACCACTTTAGCCACAGCACCACTTCCAGTTTTTGGTTAATTGAAGATAAGAGATAAGAGTCTCATGGACTTTTCCTGCCTGGGCTGGCTTTGAACCTCGATCCTCAGATCTCAGCCTCCTGAGTAGCTAGGATTACAGGTGTGAGCCACCAGCACCTGGTGGTTTAGCCTGTTTTTAAACCAAGAACTTGGGTTCCTAGAAGATTTATGCCCCTAAACAAAGATACTCAAGAAGCTCAGGCAGGAAGATTGGAGGCCAAAATGGATTAAACAACAAGATCTCGTCTTTTGAAAAAAAAAAAAAAATGTACTCCTGTCCTCAGTATCTTGTCCCTTGGGACTCCTTTTGATCTTTCTTATGGCCTATTTGTGTTCATAGGCTGATTTCTCTGTCTAAAATGCTCTCCACACTCTTTGTCAGATCTCTGCATGGCTAATGCCTCATTCTTTGCACTCAGCTGAAATAGTTACCCTTCCTCAGAGCGTCTTAACCATGCCCTCAAAAAAAGATTCTATGTAACTTGTCTACTTTCTCTTGCACAGATATCACCCTTCATTATGTAAGGTATACTTATTTTTTACTTAATGACAACAAGAACAGGGACTAACACAATATAGTTTTGCTGATTACATTCAGCCATGTGATTCATATGTGTCTCTGAGGTCCCTTGTTTTCCTTTTCTTTCTCTCTCTCTCTCCTTTTTAGTACTTAGAATTGAGGCACTTTTCCACCAAGTTACATCCCCAGCACTTTTTTGTTTTCCCTGTAAATTAGTAGTTAGATTTAGAGGCTTGATTAAATTCTGACTAGCTTCATATTTTATTTATTTGTCCATTGTGGGGCTTGAACTCAGGGCCTAGGCACTGTTCCTGAGTGTTTTTCACTCAAGGCTAGCACTCTGTCACTTTGAGCCATAGTGCCACTTACATTTTCTTGGTGGTTTACTGGAGATAGGCGTCTCATGGATTTTACTGCCCAGGCTATCTTTGAACTGTGATCCTTAGATCTTGGCCTCCTGAGTAGCTAGGATTACAGGCATGAGCCACTGGCACCTAGCTTTAGATTCATATTTTTAAAATATTTAATAGATATTGTTGAGCTGGGAATGTGGCTTAGTGGTAGTGTGCTTGCCTAGCATGCACGAAGCCCTGGGTTTGATTTCTTTTACCACCTAAACAGAACTAGCTGGAAGTGGTGCTGTGACTCAATGGTAGAGTGCTAGCCTTGAGCTGAAGAAGCTCAGGGACAGTACCCAGGCCCTGAGTTAAAGCCCCAGGACTGGCAAAAAAAAAAAAAAAAAAAAAAGGTACTGTTTATACTCCCACAGGGAAACACTTAATACCTTGTTGTTTTCTTTTTTTTTTTTATGATGTAATCACTGACATTAATTTACCAGAGCCATTATTCTGTTAGGGATTACAAAATGGTGATCATGCTAAACTTTTTGTCACTTTGACAAATATCTGAGAAAAAAGTTAAGGAAAAGATTTATTTTGGCTCACAGGTTTCACACTGATGGTCTGGCATTGATTCTATTGACTGAGATGATATATTGAAGTCGCTTACACTTGTAATCCTAGCTAGTCAGGAGACTAAGATCTGAGGATCACAGTTAAAAGCCAGACTGGGCAGGAAAGTCTGTGAGACTCTTATCTCCAATAAATTACTCAGAAAAAGCTGGAAGTGGTATTGTGGCTAAAGTAGTAGAATGCTAGCCTTGAGCAAAGGGAGCTCAGGGACTGTGTCCAGGCTCTGAGTTCAAGCCCCAAGACTGGTGCATGCACATGTGTGCACAAACACACACACACACACACAGAAAATGACATATTGAGATATTACTTTTGTCCTAGGGATTCTCATTGCTCTATCCCTTGTGCTAGATTTTTCTGTATTGTTTTTCTTCTCACTTGAGTACTGGAATATACCAAAAACCATGCTGGGTTACAAGCTATACTCAGCTGATGAGTACCAGTATGCCAGTTTCCTAATCTGGGGTGGGGCTAATCACAGTTGGGCAAGTCAGGACATTTCCTTCCTACGGCAAAGAAATATTAACATTTGAGAGGAGGAACCCTGTGATTTTCTCAATTTCATTATGTAGTAGATGGTCTTGAGGATTGCTTTTCTGCCAGTGGGTGCATGGTTGTAACAATCACATGTATGACGTGTTGCAGTCTTTCAGTACACTTTTATCCCTGTTTGCTTTCATTCACTTGTCTTCTATTCACATCTCTTTTTGCATTTCAATATTATTTCACAAGACAGGCCGCTTATGGGAAGAAGAAAGGGAAAATCCAGGCTTGGCTAGACCAATCACCAGTCACAGGGAACGGAAGGTACAAATGTTAATGGTGTCTTCCAGGAGTGGAAAGTCATTCAGCACCAATTGTTTGTGAAGTGGCTTGGAATGGGATTGGAAAGTTACGTAGACACCAACTCTTGTAAGGTTGCAAAAGCCAATGTAGGCTTTGATGGTATATGCCTGTAATCCCATCACTTGGGAGGAAGAACTAGGAGGATCCAGAATTCCAGGACAGTTTGGGCTACATAGTGAGGCCCTGTCTTAAAGGGGGTGGGGGTGGAGGTAGGGGAAT